TTCTCAAAAGTAGTGTCACTTGCAGCCCCATCATATTTTTACATGATTATTTGATTACGTATAGCCTCATTTTTCTTATATGTGTCTAGCCTTGGAATCAAGTTATAGAATCTTCACTGAAAATTCAAAGCACAGATAGGCCACTTGAAGCTTAAATACCTTCTCATTGCCAAGAGCTTATTATTTTCTATCATTTTATATCTCATTTGTATTATGCTATTGACTTGAATTTTAAAGCCTCAGGTAGCTATGTTGGGTGCTCAACTTATAAAAAAATAGAACTTAAAGTTGAGTCACTCTTCATAATCTCTAATTGTTCACAGTATAATGGTGAAACCCTTGTAGACAAACCACTACTAAGTCCTAATTAGTATAAATCCCTTTTGAAGGAAAATTTAAGTTTTCTGTTAATATAGTTTCTTACATTTCACTGGCAACTTGCAGTTCACATAGAGCTTTCACATACATTATCACACCTGAGTTTATAACCATCAACCTAAAACTACTATCATCCATAACTGACTATATAAATGCCACACAAATTTTGAAAAGGATGGAATAAATATAAATATCCATTTGTTTTATGTCAGTTCATTTTTATACAAGTGCTCAAATACTCTGATCAGCTATGATCACAGGTAATAAAGAAAATAAAAATATTTTTCTCTCTGGGTTATTAGAGCAACATATAAATCTAAATGAGTTGGTAGAATGAAAAAATTCTGGAAATGTCGACTGTTCTCATTTCTACAACTTGCACAAAGTAAAAGAACTGTTTATGATCATTTTAGTTTGCTCAGAAACCCTGCTAGAATATTCATGGAGAATTATCATGGAAGATTATAAACTCTGGTAGGCACCTAAAAAATAAACTTTTTATTTATGACAATTTTAGATTTATAGAATTATTGTGAAGATAGCACAGAGAGTTCTCCTATATCCTGCATCCAGTTTCCTGTTATTAACATCCTACATTAGTATAGTATATTTGTTACAACTAATGAGCAAATATTAATGCATTATTCCCCAGAGTTCGTACTTTATTCGGATTTATTTAGCTTTTACCTTATGTTCTTTTTCTGTCCCAGTATTCCACCCAAGATATAACATTACCTTTAATCTTCATGTCTCCTGAAGCTCCTCTCGGCTGTGACAACTTCTCAGACTTTCCTTGTTTTTTGATAAATAAGATGATTTTGAGGAGTACTAGTCAGGTATTTTGCAGAATTTCCCTCAACTGGAATTTTTCTCATTTTTTTCTCATGATTAATTTGGGGTTATGGTTTTTTGGGAGGAAGATCACGATGTTAAGTGCCATTTTTAACACCATATCAAAGGAAAATACTATCAACATGACAGCATTGCTGGTGAAGTTCACCTTGATCACCTGGCTCGGGTATTATTTGTCAGGTTTCTCCACTGTGCAGTTATTCTTTCTTCCCATCTCTACTGTACTTTTTGAAAGGAAGTCACTATGTGCCATCCACACATGAGTAGGGAGTTATGTTCCATGTTTTTGAAGGTAGAGTATCTATATAAATTATTTGGTCTGATAGCTAGGATTCCACAAGTCAGAAAATGTTAATAGGGAAGAGAAAAAATGATGAGTAAATCCATATGAGGAAGCAAAGAACTAAGGAAGTCAAGGTAATGAATGCAGGTAAGGTAAGAGGTAGGGTCCCACCACTCGACATGCGTGAAGCCTCATGACTAGACACATAGTCCATTAGACTCTTTCCTGCCTACCCAGTTCCTCTGGAAAAGCGAAGTAGTCAAACATTTGTAAGCAGTAATGAAGTCCATAATCATTTTACTTTTCTCCTGCGATCATTGCATGAATTTAACATTTCCTTCATTGCCAATGTCTAGTTCTAGTAAAGTTCTAGTCTCCAAAATGCATAGAATGATTTCCAGGCAGAACTCAATGTTTTTGTTATCTTGGAAATGGATATGTGATAGGAAGAGGTGCTATATCATTTAAAGGAGTAAAATGAAGTAGAGATAAGTAAAATGAGATATCTCTAAGACCTTCAAAATTAATGATTTCTATCTTGATCATTCAACTGAAAGTGCTCTCTCAAAACTCCCCAAATAACACTTGTTGTCAGAAACAATGGTCCTTTCTTCTTCCTGATTCTCCTTGATCTTGCTTTTGCATTTGACTTTGTTAACTACCCTTTGGTATTGGATAAATACTGCTATGTAACAAATCATCTCAAAATCCAGGGGCTTTAAAAAGCAACCATTTCTTACTGTTCATGCATTCTCAGGATAGCTGCTGTTTAACTAGGCTGGGTTCCACTAGGTGGCTCTGCTTCTGATGAACTGCTAGTTGGATGCGGAGTCACTGGTCTGTGTGTCTCTCAACCTTCTCCTTGGTCCAGAAGGCTGACAGTGGCAAGTATTTACCCAAAAAATGACAGAAGGGCAAGAGAACAATTGGCAAAGTCTCAAGTCTCTTAAGAGTTAGGTTTGGAGCCAGGCTCGGTGGCTCAGCCTGTAATCCCGTGCCTTTGGGAGGCTGAGGTGAGTGGATTGCCTGAGCCCGCGGGTTCGAGACCCGCCTGGGCAGCGAGACCTCATCTCTACAATAAATCAAAAAATCAGCCGGCCGTGGTAGCGCATGCCTGTAATTCCAGCTACTCAGAAGGCTGAGGCGGAAGGATCGCCGGAGCCCAGCAGGTCAAGGCTGCGGTGGCCGGGAGCGGCCACTGCACTCCAGTCTGGGCAACAGAGTGAGACTCCAACTCAAAAAAAAAAAAAAAAAAAGTTAGGTTTGGAATTGGCACCTTGTAATGTCTGTCTATGATCCATTAGTCAAAACGAGTCACATGGACAAGGGACAGAAAATGCACTGTATCTTTGATGAGGACATAGCTAGTGTGTGGATGCAGGGGCCAATAATGCATAACTTAATCTATCTTAGCCTTGCTTCTTGAAACATTCTTTTCTTTTAACACAATACTCTCTTGATCCTCTTCCCTTATTAAATTTAATTATTCTTCCTTCAACCTCAGCACTATATGTAGGTTTTACTTAAAGGTCAGCCTTCCCATCCCAATTTCCTCCATGTTTGTGCTCTTCCTAAGAAAACTCATCTAGGCTCAGACTCCCTGATGCCCTAATGATCATTTCCAGTTTATCACTGGATATTTCCATCTGGAATTACCTAAACTCATAATCTTTGGTCCCATGCTCCATTTAGATCAATGTTTCTTTTCAATACAAAGCTGTATCCCTGAAAAAGATTTGGGTCTTTGATAAGTGTTTTGTTGTGTATACAAAAACAAAGCAAAGTCCTAATAAAAACTTACCCTATGTCAATAAGAATATGACATATCAAAAAAGGCAGAGTATATATCTAAAAGAAAATAATAATGATAAGAAGAGTATTAAGAATCATATTCTATAAGAGATGGTGAAAGTTGCTAATAATTTCTTTTTAAATCTACAGATTATGTAGGGTATCATGACCACTATGTTTAGGTAGTTGAAAATGGTATGGAAAACCTGAGGTTTTTTTCTATAACAGAACTGCCCTCAACGGGTAGATTTTGGGGAGGGAAATGTTAACTTCATGTAAGGAAATCATTTATAGTAAGAAAAATTATATGGAACAAAATGGACTACATATTTTCATGTTTCATTTATGTCAATCCTCTCTTCTGAAAGGTCTTTCTCCCCCTTCTTTCAATTACCCAATAAATTCCTATCCACTCTTCAAAACTTATCCCAAGTCTTCAACCCTCCTTAAACTCTTCCCTGACTACTCAAATGGTATTGCTCTCTCTCAACTCAGGTTGCTAATCTCTCACCTCACCCCGACTAAATTAAGAGCTCTTTGAGAGTAAAAATAGGACATTCTTATTTATAACTTCGAGCATGAAGCATAACACTGAGCTGATATCAGAAACTCAATGCACTCTTATTGGTTTGTGTTCCATCACAGATTTCCTGATTTGTAATCTGGAGTCATTAGGCTCAGTTAGCACTTGAACCAGATTGGAATATTCAAGAATCTTATCATTTTACACTGATTTCACATGAGGACTTGGCTTCTGATTTTAATGAAAGTCTGAAGGGAGTAGCAGATTTTGCCATCACTTGCTATCCAAGCTGATATTTTGCTACTCACACACAAAAAAACCCTCCACTAAATTTAGAGGTACTCTAAGCACTTCGATTTATAGCTCAGATAGTTTGCTGAGTAAATATGTCATCATTTCTTATATCAAAAAAATTTTTTTTAAATCAATTGGTGAATGGGAATATACTCATATGATGTGGAAAAATACACACAACACTGGAAAGCTATCACTCTAGTTTGTATTCAGGTCTGCCTGCTGTCATAGTTACTGATAAACTCAAAGCGGTTTCCCTCCCAAATCACACAATGAAATTAAGCTATTCTTCTTGCTTTATTTTTTTCTACCCATGAATTGAAGCTAAAAAATAGCATCAATTGCAAGTGTTTTTACACTTTTAGCAATATTTTAAAAATACAAAAGAAATAAAAGAGTTTTAATCAAAATAAGCACCTCTGATAGAGATCTCACCTCATTTATTCATCAATGATTCATTGTGCACCTGGGGACAGGTTCTGGGGATGAAACAATGATTATGGCTCTGTACCTACCCTCAAGGACATCAGAGCTCTGTGAGGGAGAGAGATGTGTAAGAGATGTATTTCAATGAAATGCAATCAGTACTGTGATAGAAACAGTATGGAGAGCCCTGGGAACATAGAAGAGCCACACTTCATTAGTTTTGGGGTGCTGGTGGTATCAAATCAAAGGGAGGCGTTCATCCTGCAAGTCTTGAAGCATTATTGCTGTGAAGCTTAGCAAATGTGTTTTCAGTCTTTCCGGATATAGAATGCCAATGTGCGCCTACAGGCTGGGCTCATGGAGCTATGACATGCAGAGGCCAGCACTGCTGCACCCACCATGCTATCACCTGCTGATACTCACATACAGCTATCCTTTCTGCTCTGGCCACAGGAACTCCTTCACAGACATCCTCCGTGCCATCCTGCTGTCATTGGAAGTCCTTATTGAAGATCCGGAGCTTCAGATAAATGGCTTCATTTTAATTATAGACTGGAGTAATTTTTCCTTCAAACAAGCCTCCAAACTGACACCTTCAATTCTTAAACTGGCCATTGAAGGGCTGCAGGTATGTTCAATGAAAGTACAGTACAGGACTGTGTGTGACAACATTTTTTTATTATTGCAACCAAAGTAATATTTTATCCTTTAGAACAGAAAAAGGAAACTTGGATAAAATTCATCTGTGAGTACTTCATATTTTTACCTCAGCCTGAGTTTAGATGTTTGTTTCTTTTTAATTAGCCTTCATTTTCATTAATAACTCCAAATTACTGTTACCATAGGCACAAATTACCTACTGTAGCAATAATGAATAAAGCTTAGAGATATTTGTCTTAATCCATTGGAGACTTCACAAAAATTAAAACTAGGAAACATCTGCCTTATGAATGTGTCCTATATAGAGGTGACTTGGGGCTTTCCGGAAACATTTTTGTGCCCCAGAAATGCACCCTGTGGATCGTTTCTTCCCAGGGTATAATGTGTTACTGTGCTGGTGCTTAAGTGGATCACTTTAGTGCAAACAGAGGAAGCAGATGAAACTACCTCCTGTTTGTATAACCAGTTGTTATGACCTTGGGGAAGGGGTTTGGGGACTACGTAAAGATTAGGGTGGTCAGTTTCTGGGTTTCTTCTAATTCTTAAATGCCAGTAATCCTATGAAAAGTAACCAGCTTTAGAGAAGCAATGCTGCTTAGCTTTGTGACGACACATTATTACAGTACAAAACTAAGGGAATAGTTTGGGGAGATTCAGAATCAGCACAGATAAAACTCATGTCCCTAATTTTGTAGGAAGATTGACTTGATGGCTTAATTCCTCCTCCAAATACATGGAAGTTATGTGCAGCTATGTGTATAGAAAAATATGGACTCTGGATAATTCTCAGATCAAGCAGTCATTACTTATGCTCTTCAAAGTGCGAAACTAACCCATTTCAACCACCCATCATGCTCTAGTTCAGTGAATGGTGGGTCTGTTTCTTAAACTATGGCTTAATATACACCTGCAAATATCTAGCACCTAGTGGTCTTCTAATACATATGTGTTTATTGAGTGAATCTTATTTTATTGAAATGGTTTCCTATTTCTCAGAGGAGCAGTCAAGCAGGTATTTCAGAAGAGGAACAGCAAGTTCACATTGTTCCAGGATTGACAGATAGTCCTGGGTGGCTACACCATGCAGTGTGTTTGGGGTACATGTGTGAAGTTGCTTTTCATGTACAGACTACATGAAGCATCCTGCCTTGCTCTAAAGTCCCAATCATAGACACACACACACACGTACACACACACACACACACACACACACACACACACACACACACGTATATTTTCTATCAGTCACTTTAACCCTTTTTTCCAACCCAATCTTATCTAAGCCGCTGTACTTCTGATCTCTTTCTCCCTAAAGCTTTTTATCAAAAGGAGTTATAAAGCAAGCTTTAAGGTTTATTTCATGCCCTATAACTGTGATGACCATATTTCCAAGAATTTCTGTACAAATGTCATGTAATCTTATCTTTAAAGAAAAACCTGATTACATGTGTATAGCTGTGATTCAAGTGACTTTATAGGATTTTGTTTTCAAAAATCAGGAAGGAAAATGTCCTTTATCTAACCCTATGTTCCCATTTTTATCCTGAAAATGTGTGTATTACATAATATGTCCCTTGCCATCTTCACTAGGATGATGTGGGTCTTACTGAGTTAATGCATATGAATGTGTTTTGAAAGGTAAAGCTATATATAAATGCAAGCTATTCCTGTGAGAAATAATACATGACCTTTTGAGGGGCAAGATGAGTCTCATTTGGGCCTTCACTTGACATGCAATAGGCTCCAAGATGAATTCCACAACATCCTACACCTCTGGAAGGAAGCCCACAGTCTCAGAGAAGCTGAACTGGGGTACAGATCCTCTGTCTAGGATATGGGCACCCCCATCCCCTGCTTTTAGCTGTCTTGGTCACACTAAAGAAGCTTTTAGGGTTATTGCAGATAATTCTATTTTTGCCCAATGGGAAGTCAGCTCTGGCCAGCTGCTGGTAATGCCTCCCTTCAAGCTACTCTCTTTCTAGCTTTGGGGACATTCAGACATTATGGTCAACTTACCACTGGATCTCCTAGTGACCTTTCTTCATTGCGGGAGTTGTCTCCATCTCCAGGTGGCCATTAACCCCTATGATGTCTTGAAAAAGTCATAATAGTTACTAAGCAGAGTTCCTCCCTTTGTGGTCACCAGTGCTGTGCAAGGAAGGTCTCATATGGATCTACATTTGCTAGCCACAAAGGTCCAAGTAAATTCCAACACCACTGGCCGACTTCAGTAGATAAAGGGAGAGCTACACTAGGTCAGCATCAGTGAGGGAAAAAAAGCATCCTTCCTTCCTCTTGTGTGTCTCAGAGAGGGCTTTTGAGGCCAAGGTGTTTGCTTGACATGTAGGAGATTGCACAGGAAGGAGATCCTATGTTCTAGTGGGAGGAACTTGCTCTCTCTGCTGTCCTAAGGTAGGTGTGAGAAAGTGGCCTTGGGGAAATAATCAGATCGATTTGTTGCTAGGCCACTTGGTTTGGGATTTCAGATGTTTGTTGGATTTATCTAGGATCACCTGATGCTCAGCTCCTGTGGAATTTGGGGCTTTGGGATATGATACCCCTCTCCACCAAGTAAAACAATTTCTTCCTCAGGGAGAAGGTTGTGGGGCCATCCTAAATAGCTCACTGCTCAGGCAGTGAAAATTTAAGGTCATTTTTTCTCAATTCTGTACTTTGCATTGCAGCCTGGGGAACTGAGAACCCTGAGGTTTAGTCCTATTACCATGGTCTCAGTTCCCCAAAAAGACAATTGTCAAGGGCACCTTCAGTTGCTAATTGTTACAGGCTGGGTCTTTGGGGAGCAGACTCTGACATGGAGATTGTCATGCAGGAGATTTATTAGGGAGTGCTCTTTGAGTTAACACCTGTAGAAGGGAAGCTATGGAAGAAAGTTTGGCAGTGGGAGAAGTTATGGTGGGATTCAATCATTTCCAATAAATCCTTGGGCATTCTGAAGCCAGGATGACCTTTCGATTCATCCTCAATGGGGGTCAAAGGTTTGAGCCTTTACGTTTCCACATTGCTCAGTCACTGCATGCTGGTTGCCCTGGGAAAGGATGTGCACTTGGGCAGAGTGGCTCTCTTTAGCCTGAGGCCTTTTATCTGAGGGCTTTCTCCTGGCAGCCCTCCCAGTGGCTGGGCAGTGTTTCAGAGCTTCTGTAATAAGCAAAAGATGTTTGGAATATCCTGCGATGTAACATCAAGGAACGTCTCTTACTCTCAATCAGACTATATAGCTTCGTTTTTGTTGTTAACTCACATTCCCTATTAACCCCAAAGTGGAGGTGATACCAGGTCATATAGAGGTGATGGGCACTAGTCTAGCAAGTTGGTAACAGTCTTACATTTGGGTCTACCTGTTGTACTTGTATGCTTTAAAAGGCAATTATACTGCCTCTGAAAATAATTATTATAAAAATGACATGTGCATAGAACTTTAGTTATGCCCTTCCTAGGCTGAACTAATAGGTTATATAAGAATCACATTGAAGACAATTCTTTAAGGGACCATGATATTTTTACAGAAAAAATGACTCTGCATCAGCCAGTCATAAAATGCTAATAGCGTATGTATCTACTCCTACTTTTAGAGTAAGGTTTTGAGGAACTGTCATTGTTTACAATATTAGGTTGTCCCAGTTACATAAATATTCTATACATAGTACAAAAACTTTAGTTAAAACACTAATTTTGAGAATGCCTGGAAGTCATTTAGTTTCACTAGGTTGTTTGATCTTTAAATGTGGTCAATAATGTCTAAAAGAGCCGCTGTATCTGTTCATTATAGTTTGTTTAAATTTTAATCAAACTTAAAGTAATATTTGTGCAACCATTTTAATACAGTTCAGTGTTATTCTCAATTCTGCCGGGGATTTCTGGCAGAATGAGCAACATGCCGAAGTCCTGCTCTCAAGCTTTGTAATGTGTCCAAAATCAATTTTTGGAATTATTTCTTGTAAATCACTGTAGACCAATGATTACAATCAACACACTGTGTTTATCAATGTTCAGCCAGCCCGGATACTTCAAGGGCTTACTGTGTTGAAATGTTTTACTTAGGAAGAGCTACAGTCTTGCATCCTGTAGGCTATTTACAAAATATTTGATTCCTTTAAGGACCCAGATATTTGTTATGCGTTTAGAGAAGCCAGTTTTTCACTCACTAGAGGAGATCCAGAAAGCAGTCTATTTATTTTTTCTCATTTCCATGCTCACATCACTATTCTCTAGCCAGTCTAGACACTTTATCAGTTCATTAACTCTTTGTTCAAATTTTATTGTGTGACTTTTAAAGATGTTTTCATAATATTTATATCAACTTTGATTCAAATTCTCCCAGCAGCTTTGAGTCATTCTAATGGAAAGGAGGTCCATTGCTTTCTAAGTCTTTTTTTTCCTCTTAATTTTCTGATTTTTAACCAAGGTGGGAAGGGATTTGGAACAATGCTCAGAGACTAAGCCACTGCAAAACATCTATCTCCACAGTGTATCTTTTTTTTACACCCTTTCAGACCTTGGTTCATTCTCTCTGGCTTCCCAATCACAGTCTTTTTTCCAAAACATATGATATGTTCACTTGGGAAGTCAAAGTGCCATATTCACTCAGAAGATTAGAACAATGAAATATATGTCATGTCAGTGCGCAGTGTGACTGTTCCTGTGTGTAAACGATGGATCATGTTGTGATTAGAAATTTGAAGGGGCAGGATGGGCATATGTATTTCAAGTTAGTAGTAAACTAACTCTATAGTTCATATCTCAGACAGGCAGACATACTGACTCACGGTGTATCTATCCAACATAAAATATAGATCAGGTACTCTTCTAAATAAGAGTAAAACAAAGAACAAAGCAGATTTGGCTTCCAGGGACTTACAGCCTAGGCCCTTATCTTTCAAACTGTAATCACAAACTAGCAATATCAGCAACACCAGGAGTTGTTTAGAAATGCAGATACTAGTTGGGCAT